TTTCACGGCTTATTCTACTACATAGAATTGTACCTTACATTTGAAAAGGAAAAAGAAGAAGAAGAAATATGAAAAAGACATAATAAAACTTACCCGTAAACTACTACTGGAACGACGATCGGCTGTGGCATAGTGTTGTAGTCCACCAGGTCCTGTTATTGGTACTATGCCGCAGCCGGAACGTATGCCTTGACCGAATGTTGTTCTACACATTTAATAAACACATCAAGAGGCCAACAACAAAAACATTTTTTTTTTTTCGATATTTTGTTACGATTTTTTTTTTTTTTTTCGTAAAACATTCAACATTTATATGGAAAATATAATAAAGCGATAAACAAATAATTTAATTGATTCATCATTAGCATCAAGAAATTATTATGATTTGTGTTTGCGAAAGTTATGAAATGGTCGAGAGAAAGAGACAGAGGAAAACCGGAGAGTCAGTATGAGAGAAAGCGAGAGCGATAAAACAAGTACAAGAAAAAGATGGGGGAGAGAGAGATAGCGAAAGAAAGAAATAGAAAATAACCAAAGATTTGTTTTTAGTTGAAGAGGGAGAGGGAGAGGGCGAAAGAAAGAAAAAGATGTATGATGTGTGTTGATAAAAATATAGGAGATAGAGATGCACTCATAGAGATTTTAATGATAATTGTTTACATAGAAAACACACGCGCACACATACACACACATATATATATATAAAAATATAAATAATCAATATTTACAACAGCAGTAAATATGAAAATGAAAATTAGACAGAAAGAGAAAAGAACATAAGAGCAGACAGCGAGGTGTGTATATATTGTGTGTGTGTGTGTACGTGTGTGTGTGTGTATTATGAAGAAGGATAGAGAGCGAAAAACCCAACATATTTACAGCAAGCATCGTAAAGAGCAACCAAAGTATTTTTTTGTTATGATGATAGAAGCAAAATAATAAAAGGAAGTACACAAAGCATCGTAAATTATTAAAGAGTTTGCGAACACGTGTTTGGAAGTGTATGCGTGTGTATATATGTACATGGGAGTTAAATCGCCGATTTTATGTGTTTTTTTTTTTATAGGTTTTTATTGTTGTTTTGAAAATTTTTTTTTCGGTTCAGCCAGATTTTCATGTGTAGTTAGTTGCGTTGTTATTTATCATTTCAAGCCATACATTGTTGTTGTTGTTGTTGTCGTTTTTTTTTTTTTTTTTAAAGGAAATTTGATGTAAAAGTTATTTTTAATATATTTCATTTTACACGCACAGAATAGAAGAATTAGTTCGAAAATGAAGAAAAAAGAGAAAAAAAAAACATTTAAATATTATTAATGCGTTCTTTTGTTTTTTTTGTTTTTTTTGTTTTTTTTTTTTTTAATAATTTAAGTGAAAAAAGGACTATAGATTATAAAGAAAAAAACGTGCTTCTTTTGTTTATAAATGTAAATTTTTTAAAAATATATAATTAAAGGTAAAATTTTCCTTAGTCTAAAGCTATGCATTAATTATTCATTTATTTATTTATTTATTTATTTTTTTTTTTTTATTGTTTTGAAAGCCTTAACTTATTTTAAAATTACTAATGTATAGAAATATTGGTCTTAAGTTAGATTCTTGGTGATTTTTTTTTTTTTGTTTTTTTTTTTTTCATTTCCTTTCGTTTTCTTTGTGTTTCTCGGTTTTCAATAAAATGTTTTCACTTACGTATAAATACATATATTTTTATATATATATATATATATATTAAAAATAAAATATATATTTTCCAGGCTTAGCGCATTAAAAAATAATAAAAAAAACCTGTTCGTTTAACGAAAATCGAAGAAAAAAAAAAACACCAAGTTAAAGTAAATATTTCTAATATCTTTGGGTGATATTGTTGTTTATAGTATTCCCTATATTTTTTGCTGTTGTTGTTTGTTTGGTTTGTTGTTATCATTTTTGTTTTATTAAAGTGCTTTTCAAGTCTTTTATTTTATGATTTTATATATATATATATATATATTATTTAATTTTAAACTCTTTTCAAGAACTTTTCTATTCAAGCTAATTAATTATATATATATATATATATATATATATATATAAAAAGAAGAAAAAATGTATTGTTTCCCTTAAGTTTCCATTTTCAAGAAAAAAATATGAAAAAACATATCAAGCATCGCATACTACATATTCACCAAATACATCTTAGGCGGCTACATACACAGAATTCATTCTTTTTTTTTTTTATATTTTTCTTTTGTCTCATTTCGTTTAATTAACATATATATAAATTTTAATGACTATTTTTAAATTTATCATATGTATATAATAAATGCTTATTTGGTAACTAGTGCTCAATCGTTTTTACAAAATAAAGTGTGTGCGACGATCTCTTCTTATTCTTATTCTTCTTCTTTTTCTCATCTTTTGCTCTTTGTTTTCTTCATTCAAATAAACGCTAACCAGTTGAAATGAAACTAGAAAACTTATATTACATCGCCTTGCAGCGAATTTAAAATGTTCATCACTGTAGATAATTATATGAAAGTAACATTTAACCCTTAGATGCGAAACGGTTTAAGAACATTTTTATATTTCGTTTTTCTTTGGCCTTACTCTTTACATCGATTCATTATTTATTTATTAACAAACATGATGAAATTTTTGGTATTTCTTGGAAGTTCTTTTATTTTTTTTTAGACATTACCAGTTTTTTATACTTTATACCATCTCTGGCATAGGGCATATTAAGCTTTTTTGGAATGTATAGAACACCAAGAAGGACGGAAGTTCATATTCCGTTATGTTTAAGGGAGTCAGAATCAGAGTTTGTCTGTCCGTCTGTCCATCTAATGTCTATCTATCAGTTTGGTGCAACGGCATACTTTGGCTCAAGGGCGGATCCTACCGAAAATGGTTTAGGTCAAACCACTTTTCCGCCACCTCCTCATATTATAATACCTTATCTTCAAAAGTCTGCATTTGAAAGAGTACAAGACTAAGTTAAGAGTAACTGCATTAAGAGAAATGATGGGTTGGGATAATGGCGGGTCATTCGGCAAAGTGATTTGGTAATCGAAAAAGTCTTGTCTTTACAGCTCTACACAATATTCATGGCTCAGGAATTTTTAAAAAGCCATTTACCAAATCAGTTGATCTATCTTTATCTAAA